CCCAAAAAAGTATATTTTGGAAAATTTGTCTTATGGTTTAAGTTGATGAACTCTTGGTATTGGGCGATTTGATATTTCAAGCTATACTGCAGAATCCTAATCTTTTGAATTCGAAAAATCACAACTGATAACGATATTGACTTATGACAAATATGAGTACATGTGACCATTCTGTAGTAAAATTTTCGCTTATTCTTAAACAATACCAAAATATTTTGTATAAAAACATTTTGACTTGATATATTCTATCTACAGTGTTATCTCATATCTAGAATAGTACAAATGTTGTTTTTATATTGTTGGATTTTTTAATAAAGACATGTCTTTTACTTTTTCCAGTTAATTGACCTAACCTATTTCATATAGTGCTATGGCTGTAATTTGTAATGTTGGAGGTGGCAGAAATAAGGCTGCGTCACTGCAACAGGTGTATAAAATATACTTGACAAAATAAATATGCCCACAACCATGGCCTTTGATTAACTGCCTACCACTTCAAACCTCGATCTACGGATCTTCTGATGAGCATGCGGTTTTGAAAGGTGTAGCACATATTCCGGATACAGGCCATGATTTAATAATCAGTTAATAAATTTTGTTTCAATTAAAAAAAGGTTACCTGTTCCTGTGGAAATTTCAAAATGTCATTGCCTGCATAAAAAGGTTTAGGAGACTTGTTATACAAGAAATATTAATAAATTGATGAATGTAGCTGTTACTACGTGGTAGGAGACCATAATGAAAAGAGAATTGAAAATTTCTATGTTTTTACCACTTTTATTTGTAACTAACGTTCCTGCAGTTTCGTCCTATATGGACATTCTCAAACTTATACAATAAACTTTATTGTATAAGTTACTTCGTGGTTTCGACCTTTAAACGTTATGTAATAGTTGCCGTTGATGGTTTTTTTATTTTTCAAGATAGTTGATTAATATTATACTGTGCGCACACCAAAATACCGATATCATAACTGTTGCGTTTTGCACGCTTCGGAGTAGGTTCACCACTCAGCCCACTCAGATGACAATCATTTAGATTTTAGCATGAAATGATGGAGCCATGTTTCATCCATCTACGCATTAATTCAGGTTTTTCATGGTGAAAAGCATCAAACACTGCTCAGAATCATCAATTCGTTGTTGTTTTGGTCGATTTTGAAAAAAGGTTTCCCATACCCAAATTTTCATGCACGATATGTCCAACATGTTCCATTGACATCTTTAAAACCTCAGTTATCTCAATCAACTTCACTTTGCGGTCATCCAAAATCATTATATGAAATTTTATTGTTTTCGTCAAAAAGAGACTCTTTGGAGCGTCCACGCATCGTCCTTGGTGCTTGGCTGCCTAGCAAGCCATTTCTCGACGGTTGATTTGCCTGGTGCAAAGCCCGAAATGTTAATCAAGCCCTTGCTTCAACAGTATTTTTTCCGCCAAAAAGCAATGGTTTATTCACACGAAATTTTCTTTTATCAATTTTCTTCAGCTAACAAAAATTGCTCAACTCAAAATGTTCTATCCCACAAACAAATAGTCCGACAGCTATGAAATTTGTACACGCGTCTTTTGAAGGTTAGGGTTAGCTACAAATCATTTGGATTTAATATTAGTAGCGCCATCTGTGTGTTAACCTACGAACTTTTCAAGCCATCGTAGGTAGGTAGATATGCATTCAAAAATCAAAACTGTATCTAAATACTTATTTACCATAAATCGTACATGCTAACTTAAACTGTTGAATTTCGTTTATGTTTTTCAGTATTGATTCATTTTGCCCCACAAATTATGTAGGTACAATACAACCCAAGTTTGGCTTGAAATCCCAACAGATTCGTTAACTTCAAAAGAATGTCACATGCATCTGCTTATATCGGCTTCATTTCATTAGCTGAACAATTCTATAGCGAATCTAAAAACAGACAACTTCAATGAAATTATTGGAAAACATTACAAAATAAAACGACTTGAATTAGTTTTATGAGAGGTCTACTTGTCGTCTTCACCAAAATTGATTTTCTATGTAAGGGGAATGTTAAAAAAATAATAAAACAACTATTGAAACATATTTATTATTTAAATAAAATTGAAAAAGAAAACAAATGTGAAGTATTTATAAATAATAAAGCAACACTTAACATCGCGAAGTCACATTTCAATTCTGCCTAAATTCTAGGAGTCTAAAATTGAAGTTGCGACCCTTGATGCACATCTAATTCAAAAAATACCTCAAATAACTATATGTGTATAAAAACTAGAACTAAACTGCCTTGATACAAAAAGCTTGTTTTCTAACTTCTCAAAAGTAATTCAAGAGGAAAATTGAATATCATTTTTTGACAAAAAGGTCAGGCAAGGGACAACATTTGTCGTCAANTACAATATAATACCATGGAAAGCATATCATAAGAAAACTAACTTCAAGAAGTTATATACTACTGCTGTTTTGACACTGACTTATAGAAGTGTATAATTGTTACCAAATCATAGTACTTTTTTTTTCTGATTGATTCGGTCATTACTTGATGAAGATCCATAGTAATTTCATAAACTTCACCTTACGATCTTCACAAACTGTATTTTTTTAAAATATATCACGCCATGTTTCGCTATCACAGTAGCTTTTTCGTAGTGAATGACATACTGATAGTTAATTCTATTATATACTCTAATTTTATATGCCCTACGTAATCATAAGTGAGAGATACCTACTTAGGTACTTCTTCAATCATAATTAAATAAAGCATCCACTCAACAGCTCAAAATGATTATTCTAACCTTACAGATGTGGGTGTTCGACATCTCGTCTCAAAAAAAGAAACAGATTCATTAACTATTATTTCTTTTAAAATATATCAAAATACAGGGTGTTTGAAGATTTTACGAAAGTACTCAAAAGATTGTGAAAAAATAAAAACCCCATCATTTTTCAACAGTAACATTTTTCAACAGTAACGATTTTCAACAGTAACTTTTCTTACGCCAACATACTTATTTGCCTCTTTCATATTTGAAATTCGTGATGTAAACTTCAATTTAAAACAAACAAATAACCATAGATGTTCTACATAGTGATACTATTTTGTCCAAACTAAGTCCCAAATAACCAAGAGAAACACATATTTTCAGTTTAGAATTGCATGATCTGTTTCTAAATCTATGAGACCTTATGAAATAGTATTACATCGTGTTCGTACGTACCTTACGATTATGGTTGTGCTGTTTGCTGTTGAATTTCAATTTTTTCTACCGTCATGTCAGGATTCATTGCAGTCGCTTCTTGAATAGCCTCTGCTAAAGCCCTATCATGGTCTATCGGATCTCCGTCAGACTGGATGGTTATCTTTTGTTCCACTCTAGTTTCAACTATTCCGTCTCGTTCAGTTTTATACTGGGAATTAAAAGAGATTCAACGATCTTATCACACCTCAATAACGCTAGATAACAAATACTCACCGTGATGGTCTCCACTGTTCTAGTTTTAGAACTGATGGTTTGCGAACTGACGATTTCGCCAGTTGCGCTGTATGCTCCATCATCTGAGGTCAAGTTTACTTTACGGGCTTCTGTTGCTACAACTGGAACACTGGTGGTGGAATGAATTACAGTGGGATCACCACGGTAAACAATACTTTCTGTTTGCACAATTCCCTCAGGTGGGTCCTACAGAAAAAATTACTTATAGAACTTCGAAATAGAGTTGTAGACTTTTATGATTAACTATTTCAATTGAACTGAAACTGACGAGAATGCTGTAATGACTCAATATGTTGAATGAAATCGAACGGAGCACATATTTTCTACTTTTCTGAAACGAGATTCTCCCTGAAATAAACTTCAAGCCTAGTTCATTTATACCGGAACATGGTCCTAATTTCAAAGCCTTGGAATTTGGATTGTGTTTGTTTATTCACAATTTGTATAGGTAATTTATTATTCACTCTTATACTAAATGCGAGTGGACCATTTAACGTTATCTGGAGGTTATTTTTGCTTGAATAGGTTACGTTTTGATCTTATTAAGGTAACATCAACTTACAATAGGTACAGACAGGCCTAGGGTATAATATTTATCTCCTCCAATGAAGGGTTTAGAAAAGTCTCACTGAAACATTGCTTCAGTTTCAAATTGTTTGCTAAACTAACAGTTGGGTATGGTTTTAGATAAAAAACTCCACTTTGATAAACATATTGACCAAATCGTGCATAAAATCTCAAAAATGTTGGGTTTCATGTTGAAGGTATGTAAATATTTTTGCCATTACACATCTCTCATCAACCTGTTCAAATCTTTGTCAGGCCAATCTTGTACGCTATTACCACTTGAAGTCCTGTGTGTGAAAAGTCTGTCAAGTGCATTGAATATGTACGAAGAAAAATTATGAACACAATTAATTTCAAATTCTTCAGACATCGACATTATTTCCTACACAAAAAGTTACATAATTCATCACGAGATGGAAGAACTAACACACAGAGACGCTGCTGACATCTTCTTGTATATGAATTAGAGAACGATTTGACAGATTCCAACTACCATCTCACTTACTCCCATTTCAGCGACATTTCGCTCCTTATTTCTCGAGCAACTATTATGGCAATTCACCTCTCATAAGATCTTCAGAGATTTGTAATACGATACGGTATTCATTATTTTCTGAGTACATCTAAAATCGCCATCTGTACAAGCCATGATGGGACAATTGCATCAAATGATTCAACTCACACTTCATATTATTGGGTTACTGCTGTTTTTGGAGCATCTGGAACAATTTAACTCAAAACCGAAAAATTTCATTACTGGGCGCTTTTGAATATTTTTCAAATTCATAAATGAACAAGATCAAGGTGTGAAATTAGAGAAAACTAATTTAGTAGTGAAATTAAACCTATGTTCAAAATTTAGGACTATGTGAACAGTGAAGCTGCTTCCCTCTTATCATGACTCGTTAGTGAAGTTGACTGGGCATATGGATATTCATGTCTACAGATTCTTATGGTAATAATAATTGTTTTCTCTGTGTTTAACATTTGCATTCCAAAATATAGATGTCGCCAAATCCGTGACCCTCTCGAATATATTATCGTTCAGAAGTTCTTTTCAATAATGAATCTTTTGGACCCATATCAACTGGACTGCTTTCAATTAACGGGAAGCACCTGTTGGTAGATATATATACTCTACATTGGTGGAAATTATATAATTTTGAATGCACTAAATAACTAATCTAAAAATTGCTAAGTGAAATAATTTTTGTGCCTTGCCAATATTGATTAGAATAAGTAGTGAGTATCAAATTATCACAATTGCTTTAGAAAAAAAAAAAGATTTGCAATATGTGGATCGATAAAGGATTTGAATATCTTAATATCTTCAACTGCCAGTTTTGCACAAGTTTATCAGTAACACTCACTATATCCTATAGGTATTTATTGAATGTACTGCATTTATTGTCTCATAAGACGACAATGTGGTCAAGGTCCCTTATTCCCGCTTATACCTATGTAATATCCAGCACAATTAGCTACCAAAATTTCGTCAAAGAACTAAATAAAATGTATTTTCAAAGTATTAACAGTATCGTGACATTTGCAATATAACTTTTTATTCTCAATATACATATGGAATGTGGTAAGACATATATATTTTTAATATTCTATTTTTTTTTTGAACACATCTGATTTTTTTGAGATTCGTATATTTAAAGCACCTTATCGCAATATGCACATATATTTCTTCACATATTTGTTCTCACAAAAAAATAGAATTTTTGCAAAGTTCCTTAAGCATCGTACTAGCAACAAAATCTTATTTTATCAACACACTAATACATTACATACGTAAAACTATATATCAATATATAAATAAAAAACGTAGAAATAGTGTTTGACACGAAAAATATAAAATATGTAATCTATAAAAACAGAGTTCACCTAAAACCTGCCCAAGCTGAAATATACAAAAAGTTAATGAAGGGAAAACGTGTGATGAAAATAAGGCTAATGAAATAAGATCTAAGAATACATTTTTACAAAGCCTGTAAGATGATTAACATTCAAAATACACTGAAGAAGCTTCATTGCAAGATTTTCAAAAATTCGGTGAGAAAAATTTCTTCATTTCCATCCTGAAACGGAAAATTTCATTATTTAATAAAATACAATATAATACCATGGAAAGCATATCATAAGAAAACTAACTTCAAGAAGTTATATACTACTGCTGTTTTGACACTGACTTATAGAAGTGTATAATTGTTACCAAATCATAGTACTTTTTTTTTCTGATTGATTCGGTCATTACTTGATGAAGATCCATAGTAATTTCATAAACTTCACCTTACGATCTTCACAAACTGTATTTTTTTAAAATATATCACGCCATGTTTCGCTATCACAGTAGCTTTTTCGTAGTGAATGACATACTGATAGTTAATTCTATTATATACTCTAATTTTATATGCCCTACGTAATCATAAGTGAGAGATACCTACTTAGGTACTTCTTCAATCATAATTAAATAAAGCATCCACTCAACAGCTCAAAATGAATATCCTAACCTTACAGATGTGGGTGTTCGACATCTCGTCTCAAAAAAAGAAACAGATTCATTAACTATTATTTCTTTTAAAATATATCAAAATACAGGGTGTTTGAAGATTTTACGAAAGTACTCAAATGATCTAAAACCCTACGAAGTAAGATAGTCATGCTGAGTGTATCACAATACGTTTACTGAAGTAAATTTCATAAGATTTTCTGGTTTAGTTTTATATTGTTTTTAACATAACCCAAAAACGATTTTCAACAGTAACTTTTCTTACGCCAACATACTTATTTGCCTCTTTCATATTTGAAATTCGTGATGTAAACTTCAATTTAAAACAAACAAACTCCTTATTTCTCGAGCAACTATTATGGCAATTCACCTCTCATAAGATCTTCAGAGATTTGTAATACGATACGGTATTCATTATTTTCTGAGTACATCTAAAATCGCCATCTGTTATTGGATCTGTATATGTTGAATGGCCTTATTTCTGAATAAATAAATAACCTTACCGAGAACTTTCAGCGAATGAGATTGTAACCTTATTGTATCATTGACACAGGAACTACATTTGTTACAGGATATACAGTGGAAAATGTCATGGAGATAAACTAGAAATAGAAGTGACCCTAGCACACTATCCTGAGGAACTCCATCAGTTATCCTCTGAATGTTCGATGCTGAATTATCAATAAATTATCTTCTGTATAAGTATGATTCAATTAATTTATAGGTACTCTCTGTGGAAAATTGGTGGAACATATGAATGGCATTAATATTTTCACACCTTGTACACTGTATAAATCATTTAAATGTGAAACCAATCTGAAATTTACTTTTGTTTTTACTGCTTACTAAGTTGAAAAAAAAAAACATGAACGTAGCATGTTCATGTTTGTTTAGCACTGCTACCGTTCGATTTCATCAGATAATGGTATTATATTGCAAATTGTTGGATATGCTCAAAACAAAGACATAGAAGGTTATTGAAGTACCCAAAGCAAATACTGCACAACTTGCTTGATTCATGATTTTTGTAGTTATAAGTGATCTTGTAAGAAGTCAAAAAAATATGAAGTGTGCGAATTTATGCATTGATGGATCATTTAATTACTGGATGATGAATTTGACAAATGGATACATAAAGAATGTTTGTTCACTTCGATTAGTGCTTCAAAGAATGAATGTGTCGAGTCACAAAGCAGTTTCCATACTTACATCTCAAGTAGTTTTTCATAACGTTAAATTTTGCAAACGCACAAATCGACAAAACACGTGCATCATAGTCTAACTATATCAAACACTAAATCAGCGCACACACACATGCCTACTTACAATTCAATTTATACAAAGGACAGTAGTGCAATCTGCATTAAATTTTCCTGTATAGTAAAAAATAAAAAATGTGTTTTACTCTACCTGGTATACAACGCTGTTGTAATAAGGATGATTCGGATCGTCTGGGGGGTCAATCGGAGTGCCTGAATCACCTGAGCTAGTCGAACTAATGCTGTCTCGTCTGCCCAGCTACAAGCCATGCATGGTTAAATATGAATTGAATGTTTGTTTATCCAACAGAGTGTTTGTTATTATGTTTGTCTCACATGTGCGACCATGGAAAAGTTGAAATTTATTAGCACAGATGTGTTTGATTATTTAAGAAAAAAAAATATGTTGAATAAAAATATGGCGGACTAAAAGATGTTGATGGATGAGTTAGAGATCTTCGAAATTTAATTTTTATTTTATTGAACAGGATTAATGTGGCCGTTTCCATTATTGTTTTTTTTTGACATCATTTTTTCTACCTACATTGACTTTGACTAAGATAAATGAAAAAGAAGATATATCAGGATGCACAGTTTTGTGCTAATTGCACAATATTGATGGTTTGAATTGATGGATTGATATGTTCAATAAAAACAACCCACAAAAAATGTATGTGCAAATCAAATGTGACATGCAAATGACAGCTCGATATGATGTTAACATGTCATTTATTTTTAACCGATGTGGACAGTGTTTAATTCAGTAGAAGATATTACAAATTCAACCAACCAACAATTCAACTGCCAAGTCAAATAGGCAACCTTTGCACTAATGCCTCAAACATCTAAGCTATTACTATGTAAACTTCGTTTCCGCTCTGTGTTTTGGAATGATTTTCTGTAGGCGAGTTTCCAAGTTACATAATATATTGATCATATCTTTGCATCAATAAGATTTTTAATCAATCAACCAGATCAACCTTAAGAGCCAAGCCTACGAGCAAGACATAACATTTTTTTCCTCATTCACCTATCAATGTATTGAAATTATTACAAACGTTTATGAAAATTCACAATTATCGATTTTTGACTTTTTTCGGTGCATACAATGTATGCCGAAAAGTCTGTATGAAATTGAAATTTTTTCAATTATTGATTTCTCAAAAAATTGTTTGCTTCATAAAACACAACCTGAAAGTCATACAAGTCAAATTTCATAATTCAAAAAATTTATCAGAGATAATCTTACCTTCTAAAAAATCGAAATTTTTCACAAAGAAAGGTTTGTAGATTCAAACTATACTCAAGATTTGCAACAAAAGCCTTGTACACCGAGAAAAACATTTGTTGCTTGCTTATTAAAATACAACACAGAAACAAAACAAACTCTAGAGAACAAAATCGCACCTTTGGAATCATTTATATTCGCACACAATTTATATCGAATTTTTCAACTATATTTTTTACCTTTAGTACCTTAGGAATTCACTTTCGGTAATGAAAACTCGTTACATGACACTTTTACAAGGGCTTTTTTCATTGGTCTTGTTAAGTTACAAAATTGAACAAGAAATTAATAGATGTCAAATTCATATGGTTATGAATCAACACTATGCCATCTTCTTTTTGTCATCTAGAATGTAACATCAACAATGAACTTTTCATGTTTGTAGTTTGTGTAATGTTTCATTTGAAAAAAGACTGAATTGTTGTATACATTTGTAGGAATAAACAAACAATCATTCTTCTAATTAAATTTTCTAAATTTGATAACATAATTCTTGACTTTTGACTTCCCAGCAAATAATAAATACTCCAGTGAAGCGACGTTACCATTTAGAATAGATGAAAACATTTGAAATGAGTGATTAAAGATCCGCAGCATTCGATCATGAACAGAAATCAAATCATCTAAAGTAACAATTTGTTCAGGCCAGTCTTAACTCCCTACACTGTTAGTTAATGATCTGACACCTATCAGAAAACAACTACTCCCTTGGCTAATACCACGAAAGGCGTTGGAATATATCCGACAGGTGCAGGATTCTTAGCCAACAGCCTATGCAGGAATAACTTCAGTAAAGAATCCTGCAGTGACACCTGTCGGATATAATCCAACGCCCTTCGTGGTTTTAGCCAGGGGAGCAGTTGTTTTCTGATACGTGTCAGTCCATTAAGCTACAGTGTAAGAAGTTGAGACTGGCCTGAACGAATTGTTTCTTTAGATGATTTGATTTACAGCCAGTCTTTAAATAAATCCACTGACCATATGTGGAAAAAATTAATAGAAATTGTCATTTAACGAGGTCCCATTAAAAAACAGCATTAATTTTTAAACAGTTTTGATTTCTAAGTGGCAGTATCCCGAAAGTACACTGTGTCGTCAAGTTTTGACTTCAGATTCATGATCAACGAACAAAAAGAAGTCAAACGAACATATTTTTTAAAAACAAGCGCGAGCTGAATTACCATTACCAGGTGAAGCTATTTGAATTTTTTCTAACTCAATTTGATGTAAATAATATACGAAGGAAACGGCCTCATTAACCTTAAAACATCAGAGAATTCATACTACTATTTTGATACTGATCTAATATCTGGAACATGACCCTTTTTAGTAGCGGTTATCAAAAACAAAACGAAAAAAAAAAAATAAAAATATTAACCTGTTCACCACTAACGACCGTACTCGTCGTCTTCACCTCCTGCGTTACGACGCGCTGCTCCTGTCTGGTGGCGCTCGACGTCATCGAGTGAGCGACCGTCTTTTCTTCCAGCTGCTGAGTGCGCGCGTTTGTTCCCAAATCCTCGTGCGTCGTCGCAGTTCTCGTCGTTACCGCTCGGGCGGTGACGAAAGGAGATTTACCGTCGTCCACCGGTGCTTCGGCCTTGGGATCAAACAAAACAAAACGCAGAACCAAATAAAAAAGGATAAATAATAGAACACAAGGATAAGGGCGAACGTAAAGTGGCAAAAAATAATTTGAACATGAATAAAAGGAAATGGTATTAAAGAAACGATTGCAGGACGAGATAAATCTTGTTTGGTATTTTATAGCAGAATATCCGATATAGAAACGACCTTCTCTCATCTGTCTGATTGATGGAAAGAATTGTATACCAATATGAAGCCTATAGAATAGGCAAAAGTCGGGTTGTTAATTTTTTTCTGGTGTTACTAGGTTGGCAGAAACGAATAGGTAAGTTGATACAGTATTTCTGTTATATTTTTATATCAAAGTAAGCGGTGATATAGGGGTTGTCTGGAAAAAAATTGAATGCATTTGATATTACTAAAGATGTGAGACAAAGAGGTCCAAGGGAACTGTTCCTTACGATAGAAAAGGATGCAGCAATTCAGTTGCGCGTGGTGCGTCTCTCTGATAAAAGAGTTTGCATGACTTTTGTTCGTGTAATTGCGAAAGAAAGCGGAATACTAGTAAATACTGAGCATTATTTCGGACTAGCTAACCTTAAATTTTAGAATTAGACAAGATGCTACTACATATTGTATTAGCATATGTTTAATATAATATTGTTAATATAATTATGTATGTTAATATAATATAATGTGACAAACAATGCTAAAAAGTGTTTTTTCAATGAAAGAATAACACTCCAAATAGTGCCTAGATTTGTTTCAATAAAAAGATTATTATTGAAAAATTTTTTGAATAAAATTGCCTACATGGGTTTTGTAATTATTGGCATACATTAACTTTAATAATTTCTTTAAAGAATTTTTGTTTTACAAATAAGCCAAAAAACATGATATTGTTACTTTCTGTAACATTATTTATGAGGGTATTTTCATTCAACGATATAAATAATATATTTCATGAAGAAAAAGTATTTTTATTTCGAAAATTTACTTGTAAGTGCACGTCAATATATTTGCCACTGATGAAAAACCAATCGTCAATCGATTATGACTTGGTCAAGGTCGAGCTCTAGTTCACTTGCGCTTCGCGATCGTTTTAGATGTCCCCTTCGACAAACTTCCAGGGATTTCCCTATCGGTTATCAAATAATTTCAGTACGATATATAAGCACTACCACTCGCAGATCGGGGAAGTTTAGTTGAAAGTGCAGTACGAAGTGTTCTAATAAGGCGATGGACATTTGAGTATTAGTCCGAAGTTTCAGTTAGTGTTTGTGTTGTATTGTCAGTGTAGCACTGGAATGAATTTGAGGTTAATTGTACCTTGTAGTCAATTATTGTCAAACCCAAGAGGAAAACGTAACAGTATGAAACAGTTCCCTCAGACCTCTTTGTCATACATTTTTACTTGCATCAAAATTTCGCTTTTTTTTAAACTCGTCAACCGTAATTCAGACCAAATATTCAACAGGCAACCCTATATCAACTTGGTCACAATAAAACAGCGCTTAGTTTGATGTAACATTTATTTACTGATGAGATGGGTGAAAATAAGTAGTATCGACCCAGCCCAATAGTTACGCCAAGAAAAATATAGCCAATGCCAATGTTTTTATATTCGAAAGACTTCATACTTTCGATTGGTATGAAATTTGTTTATTAAATGAATACTTTTATAATTTTTAATCAACCACAGTCTGGCCAGGATTTTTTCAGCCAGCCCATTCCTGATTCCTGAGTGAAGGTCGTTTCTAATTCGGAGTATTAGGGAATTCCCTCTACATGTCTCAGTTGGATGTTTGATGATTTGAACAATTTTGGTCTAAAATGTGATAACTGAGACTTCATGTCAAAATATTTCAAATGATAGTACGAGATGTATAAACTCTAGCAGAATCAAGTTATTGTTTGTGCATCAGCTGGTTAACAGTGATGGTGTCTATGAGCTTGAATATATTTCTAGTGCTTTTATCAGGAACTTCAGACACAATTAGAAGAGCGGTTCAAAGCTTGATTAAAATAAAATTATATGTTGTACAAGACAAGTTCAACGGTAAACGTGGTTAATTTCACCAATTAAGCAGAGTTTTACTAATCTATCAGTATTCGAAGTTTAGCCAACCTCAATTCAATGGGACTGTAAAATGCCTCCAAAATATTCATTTGAATACTGTGGTCTTTTTGAAGTTGAAGATTTATTATTTCTTCAATTTTTCCAAAACATGGATTCATTAGAAGAGGCCAATGATGAAGATATTACCCTCAAATTATCACATTTCCAACTTGTTAAAACACACGAATAATAATTATATGAACAATATTTCGCTTGAAAATATGAAATTTTTCAGTAATATCTTTATTATTAATCTTGCAATGACACGATATCTTTCGAATAGTGAATGTACTTCACAATCACGTTACTAAACAGTTTCAAAGAAAACATGACAACTACATAAATGAAGGAAATTTATCAAGATACATTTTTAAAATGAATCAAACATCCAAATGAGGTAGAGGGTAATTTTCAGAAGTGAAATTATAAATTTTCATAATTTTCCTTAAGAAATTAAAGAAGTTATTATAAGTTACATGTTTTTCTATATTAATTGAAAAATATATTTTTCAAGTTCGAATGAAAACTTTGTTAATCTGAAAATCATCTCTATAAATGACATTTTTTCATTATCTATTCAGAAAATTTCATTATTTATTTTGGAATAACATTATATTATTAAATATGAAATTATAATTTGCATTGGTGAATTTTTTTTCTCTTCATATTATAAAGAAAAGAATTCATAACATATTATGGTAATACATTAATTTCAATATTAATTTTGTTGTTATGCAACAAATTCTGAATTCAATAACTAAGTCAATTCTTAGAGTCTTTTTGTCAAATAATTTGTTTTATTGAAACAAATGAATAACAATTCAATAATCACTAAAAAAGTTTACATAACTTTTTGAAACCTTTTATTACTAATATTTTTTATTGAGGGAGAAAATGTTATTTTTATCAAAATATACTTGTAAATTTGAGTTAATTGAATTTTTTCCTAATAATATCGCTAATATATTATCAATTATTCAAATTGTGATTGTATGCAAATGAATCGAAATATAACAAAAATATTTGAAAAAAAAGAAGGACTCTAACCAGTCACTAGTGATAGAGAAAGAAGAAATGAAAGAACAAAAAATAAAAATGCAACTGTAAATAACTGAAAAAAAAGAGGGATGGGGATCAATAAAAAATGAAACGTCTGATCGTTTCATTAGCACAGTAAAATTATTTGCAAATATCAAAGTTACATCATAATTTTTTTGATAAATATTTCACCTATTACTCCTTTTATATGTGATGTCACAAACATATCCATGAGATATATTCCTGCTCCAAGAGGGAAGAACAATAATTTTTGAAACTCATATAATTTTGCATACACTGACCCCTTACTTGGTGAAAATTAATGATATCAATGATAATAATTACAAATGTTTACGATATAGACCTAATTTGCAATACTCATTTGGAGTAGTGGACACCAGTCCAACTTTTTACATTTCAAGTTCTCCTCGGAAAGCATAGTTGAATCTGAAATGCTCAAAGAACAACCACCTCTTATTCCTGATTGACAGAAAATGAAACAATCATAAGCGTTGGAAGAATACCATTTAGCCCTTTGAATAGTATATAAATATTAGAGCGAATATTCCAATGATTAGTGAAATATTCATCAACGATAAGTTTGTTCTACTTTAGCCAACACTTAGCTTTCTACAAACTTCGTTACCTCATCTTTCATATAATTATCTCTTCAAAATCTCCCTAAATATAACGAAACTATCAAGACTTACCTTGTTAACGTGTGTTGAATAAGTTACTTCTCCAGTCCTTCCGTCTTCGACTCGTTCCTCGATATTCTGTGTAACGCCATCCTTGTCCTTTGTCACGATTTGTTTTGTAGTGGTTTTCACGATAACCGGAGTGCTCAAGCCCTTGCCCTTTGGGATTTTCAAGTTCGTCACGTCCTGCAAATTGTCTGCAGCATACTCGTTCAAATCGTCGTCACTGCTCTCTCCAGAATCGCTGCCTCCTTGTCTATAGGTTTTAACGTGCACTTTGGTGTCCTTGACGTCGGTAAAGTGGCTGGGATCTATTTGGGCATAATTGAGAATCAATTCGCCCGTCACTGGACTTCTACGAGCGGTCTTAGGGTCGATATCTCCCGTTTGGGGATCGATGTGCCCCCATTCTGTATGGATCTTACCGGTAACAGGATCAATTTCTCCAGAAAGGGTCAACACTTGGGTGACTTTAGTGTTGGCGCTCTTCACCAGAGGATCGTTAGGATCGACCTGAACGATCTTGCCCGTCTTTGGATCTACCATGCTGTAGATGTACACAGTCTGGGTAGTAACATTGATGATACGGCCCGTTTTCTCGTCGAACTGGCAATCGCTGGGATCGATTTCTTTTACTTTACCAGATGGATCGTTCTGCGTGATCAGATATATTCTTACTATCACCAGTTTACCGGTTCTAGGGTCGATTTTACCATATTTGGTATAAATCTGGCCCGTATGAGGATCAATTTCTGATGCTGAATACAACGGTGCGCCATTTTCGTCGATCTGAGATGTCTTCGTGAATACCTGGTTGGTCTCTGGATCGAACTTAGCGTTATTTGGGTCCACTTTTACAACTTTCGAAATGGTTCCAGTTTTGGGGTCCAAATACCCGTAAACAGTGATGATATACCCAGTCACCGGATCAATGTGGCCGGTAGAGTAAACATCCTCTTTCGTAACAGGATCGGCATGGTCAAACGCCCAAACCTGGTTAGTTTTAGGGTCGATCTTGATGCTCTTGTCATCTCTATTGACTATTTCACCCTTGTCATTGATTTTGGGATCGCTGATCAATATAGCGACGAGCCTGGCGAAGTTGGGATCGTATTTTCCAGTTTTAGGATTCACGTAGCCTCCCTTGAAGAGAATTTGCCCGGTAGCGGGGTCAACAATGCCTTGCTTAACGTCTATTCGTCCCGTTTTAGGGTCGGTGTGCGTTAATGTGCCTTTTACGGGATCTATCTGTCCGTATTTAGTGTCTATTTTATGGGTGGAAGGATTGTATAGACCGTTAGAAATTTCGGGAGCCACATTTTTGGTGTCGATGGTATTCTTCTTGGGGTCCAACTTTCCTACTAACGTCACTACTTGTACCTCAGGCTCCACTTCAGAGCCTAACTTAATTACTTGACACAACTCTGGATTCACGGTATCGGTTCGTGGATCTCTTACACCAGTCATGACTTTTATGACGCCGTCAGAATCGATTATAATCGGCCTAGATTCGGATTTGCCAGTTTTCGGGTCGATTGAAATCAAACGCAGATTTTTCAAGTCGATGGTGCCGTATTTTGTTTTGATTTCACCGGTGGCAGATATTTTCTGAGCCTTGGAGGTATCCATCTGACCATTATCAACGTCTATAACACCGGTCTTGGGATCTTTTTTGGCGGTGATTGTGGTTATTTCCAAAATAGGATCGTTTTGACCAGCGATGCTGATGATCTGCCCCAAGGAGCTGTCGTGTTTTCCTGTTTTTGGATCTATCACTCCACTGGCCACCATGATTTGGCCGTTGACCTCGTTGACTTGGGCGGACTTCGCGTCGACTTTGCCAGATTTGGGATCGTTGATGATAAGTTTGCCGTTCTTCGGATCGATGAGACCGTATTTGGATTCAATCAGCCCCGTGTCTGGATTTAGCAACGCAGTGGACTGTTCAACCTGACCTTTTTCTGTATCAACCTTGCCGGTCTTCGGGTCGATCTTGGTAGTTATTACCGTTATTCTGATGATTCGTTTCTTGGGCACAGGAGCCGCGTTGGGATCTTGCGCTTGCTTCAAACCAACGATGGAAAATACCTGTCCGAGAGTTGGGTCTAATTTTCCTGTTCTTGGGTCGACAACCGGGCCTCCGTTAACTACCACCTGGCCAGTAGCGGGGTCCACTTTTCCTTGTATTATTTCAGCGTTACCCGTGGATGTATCTCGAGCTATGAGCGAACCGGTGGTAGGATCAATCTGACCGTACTTAGTTTCGACGAAACCGGTATTAGGATCTAGAATGCCAGTCAAATGCTCAACGTGGCCATTCTCGGTATCCACGTTGCCGGTCTTGGGATCTTTCTTCGCAGTAATCACCATTATTTTGACGATTCTATGTTTAGCGATGGGATGGAGTACGCCCGTTACAACGTCTTTGACAGGCGAAGTTGTTTTGATAGGTGTTGTTTTAATTACTGGTTTTTCAGCTAACTCAATTTGTGACGTCGGCGAAATTGGCTTGGTGGGAGTAACTTTCTGCAATTCCCGTTCCGAGGGCTGCTGAGAAGTAACCGGATCGACAGCCGGCTCGGTTATATGTACAGACACAGCCCTTCCAAGATCCTTCTCGATTTTTCCAGATTTCGGGTTGGTAAAACCGCCCTTGAACAGAAGTTCACCCGTGTTAGGTTCGATGTGGCCTTGCCTGGTCTCTGGCTTGCCAGTCTTATGGTCGATCACAGTAAGCGTTTCCGCAACCGGATCCAAATGCCCGTACTTAGTGTATATCTTGTTCTTATCCGGATCGTATAGACCTGGAGTGGTGTCAGGAGTGGCGTTTTTGGAATCGATCGTGTTCTTTTTGGAATCCACCTTACCGACATAGGTGCGAATTTGTATTTCGGGATCTACTTCCGCTCCGACTTGCACCATCTGGACTAGATTCGGTGAAACAGCTCCGGTTCTGGGATCTACCACACCAGAACTAATAATGATATTATCGTCCTTGTCGACTTGGACAGGCCTCTCATGAACAATACCTGTTTTGGGATCTCTGGTCATTATTCTCATGAGTTTCAAATTGATGGTTCCCTGTTTCGTCACGATTTCTCCGGTTTCAGGGATTATCTTTCCGTTGGATATCTCCGTTCTGCCGCTGGTCAAATCGACAGCGCCCGTTTTCGGATCTTTATTAGCGGTTATGGTAGTTATAACAACAGCAGGATGTTGAGGGTCAACGACATTGACAACCTGCGACAGACTAGGATCAATCTTTCCTGTTTTATTATCGACCACGTTTTCGTTGATGTATATTTGGCCGGTATTTTCATCCACTTTGATAGGAGTAATGGCCGATTTGCCGGACTTATCTTTCGTAACAAACTTCTTGTTCTGAGGATCGATCTTACCGTATTTTGATTCGATAATGCCGCTGATGGGGTCGACTGTAGCAGTTAGTTTCTCCACAGTACCCTTCTCAGTGTCTATTCTACCCGTTGCAGGGTCCTTCTTGCTGGTGATGACCAATATCTTGATGACACGTTTTTTGGGTATCGGGTGGGATGGTAGCAAATTCTTAATGGGTGTTACATCTTTAGCATCGTACGAGGCAATGCTGATCACCTGACCCATGGTAGTATCCTTCTTGCCGGTTCTAGGGTCTATTACTGGACCAGTAACGTTGACCAACTGACCAGATGACGGGTCAATTTGGCCCTGAACAATTTCCTGTTTACCGGTGGCAGGGTCTGTAATGGTAACAGTTCCGTTTTTGGGATTGATTAAGCCATATTTGGATTCAATTTCTCCTGAAGGATTGAGTATTCCGGCAGACTGATCTACATGGCCGTTCTCCAGGTCTAAGTGACCTGTTTTAGGATCTTTCTTAGCTGTAATGACTAGCAGTTTAACAACTTTATTCCTGTCCTGAGGTTTTGCAGCAACTGTAGTTGGGGCTTTGACTGGAGACACCGGTATGCTCTTTTTATCTGCTTTCACGGAAATGGGAGTACTTCCAACGTCAGGATCTACTTTGGCTTCGCTGAGGTCGACTTTGATCGTTCTTCCGAAACTGCTGTCGACTTTTCCCGTTTTCGGATTAACCAAACCCTTGAACAGAATTTCTCCGGTAGCGGGGTCTCGCTGACCTTGTTTAACGTCGGTCTTGCCAGTTTTGGGGTCGATAAAACTGATCGTCTCGTTTATAAGATCAACAACACCATACTTGGTGAACACTTTATTCGAGTCAGGATCGTACATGCCTATGGATCTCTCTGGAGGCATGACGGACTTGGGGTCGAAACCTTTCTTGTCAACTTTACCGGACTTTGAAATTACAACAATTTCGGGTTCTATCTCAGAGTCTATTTGCAGTATTTGACTTAGGTTGTTGTCTCTGGCGCCGGTTCGTGGATCTACGACACCGTTCAAGACGATGACGTTTTCGTTAACGTCGAACTGGATGGGATGTTCCTCCACTTTACCAGTTTTTGGTTCTCGAGAGATTATCCTTTTGTTTTTCACGTCTACAGATCCATACTTAGTCATGATGACGCCATGTTTGGAATCTATCTTACCGTTAGTAGTTTCCTTGTGCGCTTGCGTCGGATCAAGCTGGCCAGTTTTGGGATCGCGCTTGGCCGTGACAGCGGTGACGGGAATTACGGAATCACCTTGCTCGGAAATCTTGATAAGCTGCCCTAAGCTGTTGTCGACTTTGTTTGTTTTCTGATCCAACACTCCTTGCTTCACTACGAAATGGCCGAGATTGCTATCGATTTCGATGGGGTAAACATCAGTTTTGCCGGATTTCGCGTCTTTGCAGGTTATGTTGCTCTTGAATGGGTCGATAACTCCGTATTTCGACTCTATTTTTCCGGTGGTAGGATCTAGAACAGCCTCTAGGATTTCGGTGTGGCCCTTTTCTGCCTCCACCCGTCCAGATTTCGGATCTTTCTTAGCAGTAGTAACTGTTATTTTTATTATTCGCTTCTTAGGCACCGCTGCCAGTTTACTGACTACTCTCGGCTGCTGTTCCGATATCGCGATGATCTGTCCCATGTTGGAGCTCTTCTTACCCGACTTGGGATCGATAACAGCCCCGGAAGTGATGATGATTTGCTTGGTGATGGGGTCAATGTGTCCTTGAACGACTTCTTTTTGTCCGTTGGCGGGATCCGTTATGATTACTGTACCGTTAGAAGGATCGATCAGGCCGTACTTGCAATCGATGAGACCAGTCTCAACGTTCTGCTGGCCAATTGTTTTGTCAGCGGTGGCTGTTGCCACATCGATGTATCCAGTTTTGGGATCTCTGTTACCGGTTATCACGAATAAAGTTATGGGTCTCGTCTTCTTGCCGGCAGCAAGCGGGACGCCTATTGGCGCTATGGGCGCTGTTTGGGGCGGAGCGTGGTGCATATACTGCTCGCCTGCCAGGAAAGCTGCACTGTCTGCTTTTGGATCTTTGTAGGGCGCTACCTTCTTCAATTTGTCTACATCACCAGGAGCGTAGTTGAAAGCCGTAGCAGTGGCCCTCTTTGTGGAAGGAGAATGTGTTTCGGGATAGCTAGTAGGACTAGAGGGCGAGCCTTGATTTTCGTAACTGAAACCTTGAGCGTGAGGTTTTCTAGGGGTTACCTGGTCTTCGGGCGTTTCGTAGTCGTACTCTCTAGTGTAGCCAGGCAGCTGGGGCGAACCAACAGGGGGGCCTCCTTTGTCCTTATTCGGTTGAGCTAGTACTTTTTCTTTTTCTTTCTTGTCCTTCGGGGATTTGTCCTTTTTAGAACCGAATAGGAAACCAGGACTCTAATGCGCAAAGCAAAATACATGCATATTATTACATGCAATACGGAAACGTCTAAACTAATAATACTAGGAAGAGAGGGGGTAAATTGCTTGGATTCCAATGCTTCATAAAACTTATATTGAAAATGATGTGAATATATACAAACAGAAAAAAACGATTGTGAATGTTACAAGTTTGGATTTCTATTGCCTAAAACGGTGTTAACAGACTTGAAATGAAAAAACAAATGAAATGTTGAAAATATTGAAAATAAACGAATTAAACTATTTGGATGAGTTAATTAAAACAGAAATAATGTCAAAAAATAGGAACAAATGAATAAGTAATGGGTATAAAAACTATCGTGGCTTAAGGGGTGAAAAGTAAGTGAAATATTAATTATATAGAAACAATAAAAATGAAATAAAAATAGTATTTAGGTGATAACTGTAAACTATTAGCGTTCTTAGAAGTTTTTTGTAATTGTTTCCTAAATTTTTGTAGTCATTGCTTATTATTTTCAAAACTATGTAATACAATTTACTGTATAATTTTCAGCTATAATATCCCAAGGACATTGATAACTAACGAAATAATTTTATCACAGTTTTCGAAAGCACGTTATTTGGTAACATCCCGACGCCGAAGGCGGAGGGATGTTACCTAAAATAACGTGCTTGAGGAAGTTGTGATAAAATTATGAGTTATTTATCAATGTTCGAGGGATATTCGGTGAGAAAATTTTTTGCAATTCGAACAAAATTATTTATTGAACACACAGTTATTGAAAGAACAATTCGTATAATGATATAACTCCATAAATATTTTCCAAGTGTATTTTTTACTATTGACAGTATTTTTTGGTGTATTTTCTTCAATGATTTTGTCAATTGTCGCATCATTTTGAACACCAAAGCGAGGAAGTGACATTTTCGAAATAAATTGAATTACTGAAATGTCAAACAACTTTATTGTGTTGGTTGCTTAGCAATGTCATGACATAAGTGATAACTACCCGTGAAAACTATCCATGGGTAGTTATCAGTGTAATGATGGTTTCATTGGTTATTACGACACACATGACTAGAAATAGACAAATTTGATAGGATAATTTTTTTGGCAAAAAATTTTCACTATAAAGGGTTTTACAAAAAGCGGGACACGCGTTCTGCTATATCACTATCACTATAGCTTCCTCAAGCGCTAGAGGGAGCTATTGTATGGCGAAACACGTGTCGCGGTTTTTGTAAAACCCTTTATAGTGAAAATCATACCATAAACTGCATTAATTAGTTTAAATATGGATTTTCATCAAGTATCAGTCAGTTCTATTCACTTATTAATTTTGCTCATTTTGACATTTATTATATTTTGGACCGATTACATTTTCATATATTTCAAATCTGTTGATATCTTTTTAGACAATGGATGTTCAAACTTGTAAAATTTAGGAGTTATCTAAAAAAAGTAAAGGTTTGATAATTTACAATAAACTCAAGCGATACTAAATTTTTGTTTTACTTCAAGACAAGCAAAGAACAAAATCTACATGTAGCTTTCACGAAAAACTACCGAAAATTACCATACACTAGTTCTAAAATGACAGTATTTAATCCAAATATCCATACCTTGGATTTGTCCTTCCTATCGTGGGGAGACTTGTCACTTTCCCTACTTGCATTCATATCCTCAACTCCGTTTTGTTCTAAAGCATTTGCGTCTCGATTTTCTTTGTCTTTGTCACCTTTCTTACCCAACAAACCACCTGCCGGTAGAACTGCAACCCCTCCGATAGGTTTGGTTTTCTATAGAAAAGAGAGATGTTGAGTTGACGTCAGTATAAATGAACAAAAAATAACGTAAGCTGCACACGTGGCCAGAGAAGCTCGAAAATACTTTCCATAGAGCTTACTTTCAAGAGATACATTGCGTTCTTGTAAATGTTAAGAAACTGTTGGTGGAAATTCTTGTTCGACGTCAAGGAACCTTTTCTTTACACCTGACATCGTGTATTTTTTTCAATGTGAAGAGTTAATAATATACAGTGCTTTTCTTCAATGTCCCCCCTCCCTTTTGGACGCCCAAAAAAAAAAAATTTGGGGTAATGAAATTAATGCATGAATACTTTATTTTGAAGAGAAAATTAACAGATGACACTCTCAAGATGTTCCGCCATTTTGTAGTAGGTGAAGATATTGACTTCATATTCTAGGGTTGTGAAGTATTCATCAAGAGCTTCAAAATGATGTGTCACAAGACCCCCTTGAAAGTTTCATCTGTCAATTTCACTTCAAAATAAAGTATTCATGCATTAATTTCATTATCCCAAATTTCAATTTTTAGAGTTGACCCGTTCAAAAAATAAAAGGAGGGAACATTAAAGAAATGCACTGTATATTCACGTAATTAAAGTGAAACAATGAAATATTGTCAATAGTTCTTCTATACATCTTGTTTACTTACTCCTGAACACCACATCACAAAAACCATTATGGCATCTTTGAAAAAATGGCAAAGCCAGAAACAAAAACTTTCTATCAAGTCGTAATATCGAATTTTAGTAAAATAGATACGGCCAAAGGCCTTGAAATAACTTAGGTTATTCCTGTAATGTGGTGAATTGGAAACAGTCTTTAAATGTCGAAGAGATGTATATTAGTTTCATGAAATAGCTTAGTGTCTGTTCCCCAGCTTGTAAAAATTAAAGTACCTACGTGAATAATCTATCCCAATGCACATGAAATGTTCATTTCATCATGTTTGCTGATGATACCATTATACCAACTGTCACTCAAACAATGATCAACTCATTCTAAGGTGGAGAACTGTTATTGAGGACTTTAGTATCTGGTGTCAAAGGAATAAATTAAGTTTCAATGCTTCAAAACTAATAGTTGTGAGTGAGGGCAATGACATCTTCTCGCACGAAGACGCCATCTATGGGAACGACAGAGAACTCAATCCTCGAATATCAAAGATAAACAAGGCTCCCCAAGGCTGACAGAGATTCGTTATCTGTCTTCCACTGCAGCAGTTTGCAACAAGTTGCAAACCAATGCCTCAGTCTGGCACCACTGAGGAGACCCATGACGTGTTGAAACTGCGCTGTCTGGTGTTGAATCATAAATGGATTGTGTTCGGGCTCTGGTTTTCAATTAATAGTTGTGTTACTTTACAAAAACTACCAGCCACAGAATTTGCACAAAATTGGTGATATCCAGATGTGTTCAATGGAACAAAAGATCAACGTGAACATTCCCAAGAACGACTTATAATGAGATGCAATTCTAGTCTTAAAAAGGAAAAGTTTCGTTGAAGATGAATGTGTTTTAGTTTGAGTCACGGTGAACGGTTTTAGTAATAGATATCTAAAGAAAAAGATGAAAGTTTAAAATTTAGGTAACGAAGAAGGATTTCACAGCTTTTTCCATTTACACGAATACAATAGTAGAAGTTGAAAGTAGCCAAACTATGTAATAAATACAGTACTGTAAGTTACACATATTTTTAAATCGATGGATACCTTGATTGCAATTTTCAGCTTATACGGGAAACGTCATGTTAATTCTATTTGAAGAGAAATTCATACAAACTTAATTTTTTACATCAAAATGTATTTACAGAATACTCTTCTTCTTCCTCAATAATTTAAAGCAAGAACTAAAGTATGTTTCACTTATGATATAAAGTTAATTGAAATGATAGTGAAATCTAAACTGAAATACTGAGTTGTTCAAGGTAACCACCATACATAGCAAATATTAAACCAAGCATTATTAAACCAGACCAACAAACTGGCTTCTGCTAATTCAATTTCAATGAATGATTACATTTTCAGGAAAATGTCGAATTTTATTGTGTATTTTTAGAGTAAATTAATAAAAGTGAATAACGAAAAGCAATTGATGCCAAAAATTAATCCAGTGCTAATCTTACTTTATTCACAAAGCTGTGAATGGCCTAAATTATCGCAAAAGCTAGTCTCCAGTCTATTCCTATACAATACTAAGCAAAAACGCAGTTCGAAGCCAACAGCTCTACTGAAAACACTAATACGGTAAAAGACAAAAGACGGCAGCGAATAGAGATCTGTGAAACAAGAAAAAACATGTGCAAACACCTGCTGACTCTTTTCCGCTTCGTATTCTCCCTCTATTGAACTAGCTGAGCTGCCAGATTTAATTGATCCTGAACTCCGTTTCCGGTCAAGCTAAGTTGATTTTTGTAAATTATTATTCGTCTAGCAGACTTTCACAATGAATCGAATGCATATTGAATGAAGATACATCAACCCCTGTTATACTTTAATAATAATGGTAATGAACAATTCTCAATATTCTCATGGCTGGTGTGTAACAAATTGTCCGATGTTTCCAGTTTCATTAGCCGTGGTCTGCAGGTGTTTAAACCTGATGTTTCGTCTGCTGCTGCGGCAGACATTATCAGAGGCGATGCGGAAACAGTTGAATCTGCAGACCATGGCTAATAAACCTGGAAACATCGGACAATTCAACATTCGTTTAGGTTGGCAACAAAGAATAGTGTTGATGTGCCTTCATTGAATTTATACCAGAAATAAATAACAAATCTTTGATTTCCTCATTAAAAAAAAACTGTGAAATATTCTGTCAAAATGTCAGACTCACCTTTTCTTTTTCTTTCTTCTCTTTGGGAGACTTAATCTTCGCTGGACTCTGATTGTCAATGTCAGGAATATGTTCAGGTGGATGAGACATAGTATGACGTTTATTAGCTTCGTTATATTCGTCTTCAGGACGCAAACCAACCAAAGCTGAAAGTAGTCAGAATTGAAATGAACGGCACGTGAATACGTCGTATCAGAAGTCAACTAGTCTGGTACCAGGAGTGGGGTTTTTATTAAAGTTATATCTTATCGATTCATATACTTACGATCCATGCTTCTGGAAGTCAATCGTTTTCCAGTCAAGGATCTTTCAAATTGTGGTGCTGGTCGTTCAATGGGTGTCTTTTTCGTTTCATAATGGGTTCGACCTGAGTATCTGAATTTCGACCCCAGTTTTGGAAATAGGGATGATTTTTGATTGATTTCTGGAGACATAAGCCTAAAAAAATGTATTGGAATGCAAAAAATGAACCACAGAAAAAAAGTACTCCACAAAGAACAAGTTTACGAATGAAAAAAGCAAAACATAAAAAGTCGCTCACCTGAAAAATGTATGGTGTTCTACGCATGTCTTCCATAGTTTTTTGGCTGCTCTGTGATTCGCCAGTTTGAAACCAATAGTGGATTCAAATTGCTCGAACTCCCCAGGACGTATTTTTATGTAAAAATTGTGCCTTTTGTAACTAATTTTGAGAATCTTTGGCCAAGCGAATCGGTTTATTCGAAGTCGATCTCTATAGACCAAAAGACCGGAAGCACAAACACCTGTCGATCAAATACATTATCAAAAATTGATCACTTACTGTATACTGAGGAATTGAAAGGGGTGAAGACATAGAGATAGAAATAAAGGAGCTGATACTAGAATATTCTTTCTCAAAGTGGGCGATAACGCCCCCTTGTGAGCGCTGGAGGCCTATAGGGTGGCAGTAAAGGGCACAGAGAAGATTGGGGGGCGTTGAAGCGGTTTAGCGGGGCGATGGCTAATTTAAAAATGTTTTTTTGCTTTTAACACAAACTTTACCGCTCCTTTACGCTTAACGCGCATTTCCTCGCGTAACGCCATCTACAGGACTAGACAGTAACTATTTCCTGTTCGATAGTTGTCAAACTGTACAATAGATGGCGGTATTCTTCAATGCGAAGCGAGAAGTTTCTAGTCTCCATTCTCGAAAGTACTAGGCCCGGTGCCTCATAAAAAAGCGCGCGCGCCATCCAGCCAGTAATGTCATTCAACGATATTACGAAAAGAAGTGATTTTAGTTAGCGACTAGCTAGGTTAAGTGCTGTACGTGCGGTGGTGAATACTGTGAATAGTGTCATTAGCAAGTTTTTAATACTCGATTCTTTACTTCGGCATTTTTGAAGACAAAATTATGTCGGAAGCAAAAAAAAAAGAAACGGTAGTATAGCGCGGAATATATAAAATATGGATTTATTTAAAATCCCACAAACTCATCTTCGCCTATGTGCCTTCTTTATCAAAAAACATTTTCAAATGAAGCGATGAAACTCTCAAGGCTACAAGATCATTTGAATAAAATACATTCAGATAAAAAAAGACAAAGGTGTGACTTATTTTCAAGAACTGGAAAAAAAAAACACTCAGCTCAGCCAACTGTGTCAAAACGACAACGACAGACTCCGAACTTCCTACAATAACTCCTTGCTAATTGCTCAAACAGGTAAACCTCACACTATTGGAGAGGATTTAATTTTACCGGCAATAAAAGTGCTGTGGCAACGTTACTAACTAAAAAGATAAATTGGTTGCAGATTACCGAACGCGGTGACTTACGGCTGTTTTTGAGTAAATTCGAGCCTGTAATTAACAAACTTGTTAAAAATCATCAAATTCATCCTTCACATTAGATTAGTTTTAAAATTCAAATTGAAATGTTTGTTTTAATAACATGAATAAAAGTTTTTCTAATATTACAAAATGGTGTTTTACATTACCCTCATCAGAAAGTATTATTTTCACATGACACACATAATTTAATTATTAAAATAATGACTGCAATTGTGATGTAGTAAAGTAAAAAAAATTGGGGGGCGCTAGAAAATAATTAATTCTCGAAGTGGGTGGTAGACAAAATGAGTTTGAGAACCTCTGTAATCTAAAAGATAAATGAATGACGTTGCAAATCAGTTAATTCGAAGAGTTCAGAGTTCTGACAAGAAACGAAATTACAAATTAAATAATTTCAAAGTGTAATTGAACTAAGAGATGGTAATTTAGATTTATTTATCTAAGTTGTTGGATCTGATCTAGAGCACCACTTACAAGGGTAGACTGACAAGTTTCCGGTGGAAGTGATACTTCCATCTCTTTCAACCGTCCAAATAGTGAGGAGCCTTTCTCTGCAAATTAATTACGAATATGATATTCCCCTTATTTCACGAAAATCTCTGTCCACCGAGCACAATTGTTGAATCAGGGAACAAAAAGAAGTCGCCTGAGGCAAGATCAGGTAAGTAAGAAGGGTTGTTCTGCAGTTCAAATTGTAACTAAACCAATCAAAGGATTGTCGAACAACCGCGCGTCTAAAATGGCTGTGATTTTGCAGCCCTGATAACATAGCACATACTGTGCCTGCTCCGCCATGGACTGGATTAGGTTTTCAGCATTTGTCAAAGTCCCACTCTTGCCAGCTAAGAAAGAACCCCCATCAAGTAAAGTAATCAGATTCGTTAAGAAGCTGGATTCATTTGGATGAGTTTAAATAGGAGAGTGCCACACTAAACCTTCGTGGGTTGCATTGGAGAGTCGAATGTGCAAACAGATACGCTAGCTTGTATTGACAAGTGCTGCCATCTTCATGTCAAAATCGAAAACTTGTCAGACGATCCTTGTTTCATAAAGAACCCAAAAGACAAACATTATCATTACCTAGCATTATATCGACACCTTCTGAATCTTTAGCAGGATGGAGATCTACTCCATACATTGCTAATTTCTTGGCGTTTTCTAAGTAATGCAGCTCAGCTTCAGCAGGAGTTTGACCCCTGCAAAGACATTAAAAATTACTTTTATGAAAATGCTCAAAAATACAAAGCTACTTACTTGTGAGTCCTGTGCAATTCCATTACTTTCTGTTCCAGATCCTGGGTTTGGTTGGGAGCAAATTTGAAATCTTTCAAATAATTCCTGTCCATAGTTTCTTGGTCGAAGTCTCCTAATTCGGACTGGACTAGGTATGAACCAAGCAAGGCATGAGTGACGAATGAACACGGCAGGCGATTGTTCAAAATGTCGTTACGTATCTGAAGACACAGTTGGTAGCGAGTAATGTCTTCTTGTAATTGGGCAGGATCAGGTGGATAGAATTTCACTTCGAAACTGAATTTCCACGGTTCCACTGGAATATTTTTATTGTTGTTCAGTCAAATAAAGCAGATGATTTTGGAAAGGGGAAAATATCGAGTCTTACCTCTCATGAATTTGCTAATCCTTTTTTCTAGGTCCAGCCAATTTCTAGGATCATGTCTATCAGCATAAACCAACCCAAAATAGTCTTTCTCTATTAAATTGATTGATTCACAAACCTTGTCAAGAAGCTCTTTTCCCTTTGCTTTTCTCTGAAGCAGCAAAAAATATAAATGTGTTATTGAGGTGATATATCATCAGTTTCCATTGAAATATATCAAATATTTCTCAAGTTATATTGTTTGTAATATTCATATAATACATGTTTTGGATTATAGTTAATGCAAATGTGATATAATTAAACAGACATCAATTCTCTTTCCACACGAAAAATTAATATTTGTAGTATCTTTCATTTACGAACAAATAATATGAGATGAAAGATAATTTTCCTATCAGGTAGTTTCATTACTTTCATCAAGTAACATTCCCTTGATTGTAATTACCAATATGCTAAATATTCAAATGTGTCACTACCCTCAATGTAATAAATTCATCACATTATTATCGATTATTCATATGATTAATTTTGAAAAATACATCATTGTTTTTCTTAGTCTCTTAGGTTTTATCAGTGAAGACGTAACATGAATCCTAAACAATTTCCTGACACATGCACCTGCATTTACTGTAAGCACATTCCTTCCATTATTATCAAACCCAACCCATGATTTAATGAAATTAGGACAAAATGAAAATTACATGACGAGTTACATAATTAATTAAAAAGGATTGTTCAGGCAATCAGAAGAGCGGCAAATGTTAGATACAATCATCAGCACTATCAAAATAGTTCACAGGAAAACTCTTTCTATTATTTTGGAGAAAAATGTGATACGCTAAAAAAATTGTTCATTCTTAATATAGGTTTCATGGATTCAATTAGGTGAAGAGAGCTTCTAAACATAAACGATAGCTTTTATATGTACACGATTTTGCTAATGGTATCACGGAGATTAACTCATGGAATTTTTTGAGAGGTTGCATGAAAATAGGCTATAACTTCATAGCATTGAAGTTACATAATTCTCCAATGTGAGTATAGACAGAAGAAGAAATTATGCTGTGTCTTGGGCTATTTTTAGGTTGAAACAGACCACTATACACTTAATTATCAGAATGAATAAAATACAATACTACATATACAGTGTGATCAAACTGAAGTCGGCATTACTCCTTTTCTTATTAAAGATACCAATTCGGTTGAATTGGAAAACTAGTAGCGTTTTTTTTTGCTGATTGAAGTGGTGCTAACAGAATAACAATCGGACATTGCGTTTTCGATTTATTAAAAAAAATGTATTTTTTAAATGATACCCCTGTATATTTCTACCTCAATAAATTGACAACTCTTTTCTGAACTTAAATAGGGTCTATCAGCCAAAAATGTTTTTACCCTTATTCTAAACATTTTGTTGGTCAAATTTGCCTGTCTTATATCGGAGGGCAAGTGATTAAACATCTACCCCATTGTAATAAATATAATTCCTGACCAAATTTGTTAAAGTAATTGGCAATTTCAACGCGGTGGAACGGGTGCTATAAGAATGGCATGAAGCCTCAAATAGGGAGATATTTTTGTAAATGAAGCAAACCGATTCCAAAATGAACAAACAATCACTGTTAAAATCTTTTCCTTAACGAATGCCGAAATCCCCAGCAACTTCTCTAACACTGATTCGACAATTTTCTCCACTTTATCAGCATTTTCATCGATTGTTGATGTGCTGGGGCATCCGGGACCTAATTTTTACGATGTATACTTCAATAGGTGAGCGTTATTTGGAGTTTCTTAAAACTTAGAAAAGAGTTTTTTGAAAACCTCAACTCATTTGATCGCCAATAATAATTTCAATAACAAATAATTTTTTAATTTATCTTTTCAATCAACGTTTCTTCGCTACCACAGGACCAGTGCGTTGGCCTTTTCGTTCTCCGGACATTACAACTAAGGATTTTTGAAGAACGAGGTATATAAAAATGCTACGATAGTATCAATGATTTTCAGATAGCGATAACGAACACCATACGTAGCATCGATGGTAGTACCGTTTTAAAGGGTACAATCGATAAAGGTAGAAATATACAGGAGGGGGTTTCATTTAAAACAATTGCTTTCCTGTTAGCACTACATTAATTAGTGAAAAAACACTTCTAGTTCTCTAATTCAACAAAAATTATATCTTCAATAATAAAGAAGACCGCAAAAGTGCCGGGTAGTGATCACACGGTATATAAAACAGTTAATGAATAATTTCGCTAATAACCCCAGAGCAATAGTTCAGACAATTTACTGCATTGTATAATGTTATAATATGATGATTCCAAGTGGTGATTTTCGAATTTTCACTTGCTTACATAAATTCCCCATATTGAATATTTTGTAATAAACTGAGATGAAAGTATTCTGCATTGTTTGCAGAAAACAATAGAGAGACAGAAAGGGAATTTGGAATTTCCTACCAGAATCGAAAATATAAAATACTGTTGTAAATCATGCCCGAAAGAAAATAACGCCGGCCGCCACTGGTAGCCATAAACCAATGGTGACGTAGCTAAGAGAGCGCGAATGTACGATAATTCCCCGCCACTCTAGAAGCAGCGAGAATAATGCTACCGATTTCGACGGAACTTTGGCGAAATTTCTACGGCATTCGATTACGATATTCAAAGGCTAGCCACGAGAATATCGATACAGTCAAGTGGACGTTACAGTCCGGTACGCGAAGTGATTTAGTAAGGCGATAGAAATATAAATAATAGTTGAAGTATTTGTGTATTTAAAATGAAATAAAGTTAAGTGTGATTATTCAGTGTAGTCAATTATTGGTCAACCCACAGGTAAAAACGTAACAATATGATACTCACCTCGATATTAACATCCAAAATAGAACCATCCAACATAGTCACCTGAGCCAAGGTACTTCCACTGCTCCTTACGAGGGAGGAAGATTTCTTGGAGGGGAGGGTATCATTGTCTACCGCCATTTTCTTATCTTCAGGCATTCTCGCCTCTCAAACTGAAAAATAAATTTGCCCTTAGATACAAGACAAAAATACATAATGAAATTTACTAACAGAATTGAACAGGCGTTTTTCAATTTTCTGCAAACTAAACCTTGTGGAAACCCAAAAAAAGTTTCCAAACTTTCCAAATTTTGATAACGAGAACATGCAACGGTTTCTTGGGCCAGGACAGGTGCTGAAATACGTAGATTAGCTCTACATTATAGATAATATTCAAAAAAAAGGAAATCATTTTTGGTGGGGGTTTCTCAAACGACTGAATCAATGGACTTTCACAATGGTATGGGATAACCGCATAGGTGAAAGCTACATGTATAGGATGTTTTAATAGGGACTTTCAAATTTTGACAATTGATAACGGCTATCTTGTTGGATCTATAGCTGTCAAATTAGTGGTCATTTATTCAATTCTTTAGCCAATTCACCATAGACAAAAATATCATTCAGCAACACGCGCAGATAATAAAATTGTATCATCAAAATGGGTCGCCATAATCACCCTACCGAAAAGACTATTCGCAATGTGATGGATGGTGTTGAGTTCACTGGTTATGTAAACGATCGATCATCACCCGTACTTCAACGAAATCATCGCCGCTGTCTGTGAGAGTGTGCAGAATAATCCGAGGCAGCCGATTTCGACTCGCTCACAAGAACTCGACCTTTCACAGACCACAACTTGGCGAATTTTGCGTCGTGACTTGGGCCTGCACCCGTATAAAATTCAATTGACCCAGGAACCGAAGGTAAACGACCATAGACAACGACGTGGGTTCGCTGAATGGGCTTTGCAGTTAGCAGTTAGCAACTGACCCTAATTTTTATAGATGATGCCCATCTCTGGATAAATGGGTACGTAAATGGGTAGTGAAAAAACAAAATTGTCGAATTTGGACGGAACCAATCCCCATGAGATTCAAGAGCGTCCAATGCATCCCGAAGTCACTGTTTGGTGGCGGCGTCATCGATTTATATTTCTTTGAGAACGACGTTGGCCAGGCCACCATTGTCAACGGTGAGCACTATATGTCGATGGTTACCAACTTCTTTTGACCTGAATTGGATGATCTGGACAACAACGACATGTGGTTTCAATAGGACGGCGCTACGTGCCACACAGCTCATGCCATATTGGATATTCTTCACGGGCGATTTGAGAACATGACAATCTCACGTGGAGGTCATGTGAACTGGACACCGAGAACACAGTCCAATAATATGTTTGTTCTGGTTCTAACATCCGAAAGTGTTTGGAAACTACGCAAGACATGATGCGTACGAACAAAAAATCTCGAACAGTCTGAAATGGTATCGGACAATTGGTTAAACCAGAACACATTTTGAGGAGACCACTGTGCCACCTATCGTATATATGAAGAGATGAAGACGAGAAAATATTGTTGATCATGTCCATTTTGTTATATAGCGTATCCTTGTAGTCATTTGAAACATTATCTAACCTCAATCATCAAATATTTAAATCAAATATATGAAAAAACATCCTAGTAAATAGCCCAAACAAATCATAAAGGCGCATGAGCAACGGGAACAGTTCTCAACAGTTCAATCTCGAAATTGAACTTATCCTTAATAAACCAGAACGCTCTATATCAACTGCACATGATCCTGACGTTCTAGAACCAGAACAAACCCAATACAACCAGTAGGTTCTCTTACGCGATCCGCCCGAGTTGCCGGGGACCTTCAACCGCTCTTAGGATGAGATTCTCATCTAAAGCGTTCAGTGCTGTAGTATCGAAGGATTCGACGGTACCACGGTTATCGGATTAGTTATAATAAACGGTCAGAAATTGATTTTGTGTTTAGTTTATTCGCTGTTGTTATTATTGTTTTTAGTTTTTGTAGTTGGTTATAAGTAACTTACCACAAAATCTTCTATAAGAACGAAATTGTCTCCGCACTTCGTTTCGAGGTCACCGAGAACTTTGTGAATTTATAAATGAAAGTAGTGGGAGTGGACTTACTGGTTGATTTTTACTAACACGAGAACGTGCGATTTGACCCCGTAAGACTTTTTCTTGTGGGGATTTTCTTGAGTCGCAGGTGTATGCGAATAAGCCACAAACCACAGCGGTCCTCAAAACCAACATAACCCATGCTATCGGTCAAATTCAGCCTGATTCATGGAAAATTGAACGTTCCGGATGCGCTCTACCCAGAAAAGTCCTGACGGACATTGAACGACGTTATATTCCACACATAATGGCATCAATGGGTCTTTCAAAGGAATACAAAATTTCGATAGGTATCTAACACTTATTTTGTGTTATTTAAATTCAAAGATATTTAAATGAAAAATCCGTTATAATAGTAGGTACCCCGTTCAATTTTTCTTACAATTTTTTTGCCAATAGTTTTTTCAAACCCGAGTAAAAACTATTGTCGTGACGTCACTAACATTCGATGTCATAACCATATACCCATGAATCGTCACCAGTTATGACTCTTTTAAGCAAATCTGGATCGCCATTAACGTCATTCAACAATTGCGGGGCGATGGTCATGCGACGGTTTTTTTGGTCAAAATCCAGCAATTTTGAAACGAACTTCGCTGCCACACGTTTCATGCCCAAAATTTTCGAAAAAATTGCATGATATGAGCCAACCAATATGCCAACATCCTCAGCAACTTTTCTAATAGTAATTCGATGATTCTCCATAATAATTTTCTTCACTTTCTCAACATTTCCATCGGTTGTTGATGTACTGGGGCGTCCAGGGCGATTCAAAACCAATGTGAAACGCTACTTTCGCACAGGCACCGCTTTTAGAACGACGTAACGATTTTCCTGTAGTGCTTGTGTATTGTCATTGCAAAAAAACATCTTCTCGACCTTTTGTGAGAAGGTTGTACCACTTGTAAACACTTTTCTGACTCAGAGTACAACCACAGTATGCCACTGTCAACATTTCAATTGTTTTTAAGCACCTACTTCAATTTTTTACACAAAATTGGGTGCAAATTCTTTGATCCTCTTTTTTCGATAGCATAATATCGCAGAAAATCTTCGAGAATCACTATCCTTCAAAGTAAAAGTGTGGTATATGAACGCTTCGACTCATTCACATTGTGACAACTTACTTAAAGTAAAAGATAAAGTTAAAGTTAATCTCAACCTGAGAATATTATTGCGCCATAAGAACAGCTCTGATAATAATGAAGGTTTGAGTTCCGAAATATGTGTCACATATATTCTTTACCTTCCTTCATTTATTAAAGGTTTTATATTCTTTTTCGAAAGTTAGTTCAAATTTTGTGACAGTAATTTTGATACTGTCTTAAAAATCTCCTTCTTTAAATTGGAATTTTTTAGGTTTTACGACCTTCACTTCTTGGAAGCACATAATTTTTTCTATTCCATTTAGGTTTTTCGATACTGTTTAAAAATATTGGTAATAAACAAATTCCACAGCAACTCATAGCATACCATATTGAAACAATTTAGCAAAGTATTTATGAACAATTTTTCTACAAAACGTGTGCTACGAAAATAAATATAGTTTAAAAAAACTAAAAAACACGCTTTCAAAGAACATCGAACTAAAAAGTTAGAAATCATTTTTTTAAATAAGCTTAAAACAATAACGAACAAAAAATACTAGTATTAATGATAATGTACACTTAAAACCCTCCTAAACAGGTAACGAATTATTTCGTACCACACTCTCTTTCATGAAAGTTTTCGTTTGTCTTCCACTAAAACAACTATTGAAACCCCGTCCCGTGTGAGTAACTTTCAACAAATTTCACATGGAAATATTTACATTACTGGCGTGTTATTATTTACTGCGTTGTAGCTTCCAAGAACTTCCAATCTAAAATAACCAATTTCACATGTAAACTAGATATTTTTCGAATATATTATGGAACAAACTGGTTATAGAGGAGTACATTTTTATGAGAAAAGGTAAACTAGATACTATTTTTAACACTACAGTATTATTTATTTTTCAAATGTTAATAATTGCAGTTTTTAGATTGTTTATATTGCGGTACACCTATGAAAGAATGTGTCTCTTGCAGAAATTTAAATGATTAGGTCTCTGAACGACAATGTAGCGTTAACTATCACAAGTATATAAATTGTTTACTAACTATAAATTTTCCTTGTATCACAACCATATCACCAATATTCAAGGGTGTTCACCAATCCAANGAGTTATGTATTCTAGACTTCGTAACCAGAATTGAATGACATCCCAATGCTAACAAAGTTTCATTTCTGTCGCACTCATAGAGATGATATTTTCATTTCCGCCGTACTCCTTGTTATATGCACGGTGTTGAAGTAGGATGTACTAGAAAGTTTTCAAATTCACATTTGAGTCCATTCGAAACGTTAGAACGTTTCTATTAGTTGTAGCTATCCATCAGAAATTTTCTATTGAATTTTAGAACTCTCCTGCCGTCCTAATAATCGATGAGTATGATAGATATGAAGACCCCCACATCGTCCCAAATCTCACTTCAATTTACTGTTCAAAACAAAAAATGTAAACCACCAAAGCATATTACTTATCTTTTCTGACAATCACCAAACGTCATATGTGTCACACTTAGGCATAGGTAATATGTAACCTCAAAACGAGTCTCATACCAGCACAGAACACATAATTCATTGGTGCATGTTCCGTCAAATTATAGAAAAAATCACCAACAGCATTGTTCCAATTTTAAGTTATAGAAATGAATTAGTTTCAAAATCCTCACAAAAAAGTAAATTCATGCAAAAATCACCACGAAATGCCTTTATTGCACTCTTACTTCAAGTCTATGAAAATACTCGTAATCACAGTTAATTATTCACTGATTCCACACAATTATCAACGAACCGCATATTCCTTCAAATATCTCTGGGGCATTTGTCATAACTCAACATCCAGCTGTTTCTAAGATCCTGTACACTAAGTACTAGATATATTCCTATTAAAATAAATACAAACTACTTAGGTCTGGTGACCTAGTTGGCCAGGACTGAGGATCTCCTTGGCTTATTCACATAACAATTCTTCACAAATAATGACGCATGTTCATTCTTTTATCGACCCAACTGTAGTTTATTCCGTTTAAATGAATTTCACAAAGATGGTCATCGATAAACTAGAAAGACAGACAATGAAGTTGATTGTGTGGCGATATAACAGATCTAAAAC